TGGACTTGGTGGTTCTTTGTGGGTTCCTTCTAGCTCGACATATCCTGTGACTGATTAACTTTGGGAGATCCTGAGGAGCAGCTTGTGTGTTGCTGCTTCTCTTTCCACCCGCCTGGGGCTCCCAGATGAAGGCAGGCAGGCATCGCATCCATCAACCTCGCTGCTGTTGCCTGTCTCGTTTGCTTTATTTTCTCTCAATTGCAGCACCTAACTCTTGTCTTTTCCCCCTTCCCTCGTGCAGGCTGCCCTCGGCAGAGGCGGTGGGAGGCAGTGGAGCTGGCCTCGGCACCGGGAGAGGCTGGACTTCCCGTCTCTCTGTGCTGAATGGCTGCGATGGCGCCCGCTCTCACTGACGCAGCAGCCGAAGCTCACCACATCCGATTCAAGCTGGCTCCCCCGTCCTCCACCTTGTCGCCTGGCAGTGCCGAGAGCAACGGCAACGCCAACAGCATCCTCCTGGCCGCCAACGGCACCAAAAGGAAAGCCATCGCTCCGGAGGATCCCGCTCTAGATTTCCGAAGCAACCCGACGAAGGAAGAGCTGGGCAAGCTGCAGCCGCTGGTGGCCTCTTATCTCTGCTCGGATGTAACATCTGTCTCTTCAAAAGAGCCTCTGAAGCTGCAAGGAGTCTTCAACAAGCAGACAGTCCTTAAATCTCACTCTCTCTTATCTCAGTCCTTCTTGAAAACGAGCGATCTGTTGGGGAGGCAACCGGTGTTGGAATTCACTTTGGAGAACCTAAAAACAATGAGTGCTAACAGCCAGCCACCTCTCCCGCAAGCGCCTGTGAACGGCTTGGCCAAGAAACTGGCCAAAAGTACCAATTCAGACCATGAAAACTCTAGTTCCCTGAACGGTGGGAAGTGTGCTCCTCCTCCTGCCGCCCTCCAGACTGTTGACTATAACACGGGAGGCTCCGAGCTGGGGGACTTGAAGAGCGGGTTGACCAATTGCACCCTTCCACACAGAAGCCTCGATGCAGAGCACACGACTCCCTTTAGCAATAACAGCACCGCAAATAAATCTTCCCTCAATTCCCCGGAGCAGCAGTGGGTGCTGGAGGGCGGCAGCGGAGAGACCCGGTTGCCCGGCGTCGCCGGCCGCTCCGACCTGCGGGGCGGCAAGTTGGAGGAGCAGAAACCTCCCCTGCTGGCTGGACACCACAGCGCCCTGGACTCTGAGATGAGGACGAGGGCGCTGCTCCGACGGCAGGCGGACATCGAGAGCAGAGCCCGCCGGCTGCAGAAACGCTTGCAGGTGGTGCAGGCGAAGCAGGTGGAGAGGCACATCCAGCAGCAGTTGGGTGGCTTCTTGGAGAAAACGCTGAGCAAGCTGCCGGCTTTGGACCCGCTGAGGCACCGGAGCCAGCTGATGCTGACCAGGAAAGCAGAGGCGGCCCTGAGGAAAGCTGCGAGCGAGACAGTCACCTCGGAGGGCCTGAGCAACTTCCTGAAGAGCGATTCGATATCGGAGGAACTGGAGAGGTTCACGGCCAGTGGAATGGCCAACTTGAGATCCAGCGAGCAGGCCTTCGACTCGGATGTCACTGAGAGCAGCTCGGGAGGAGAGTCGGACGTTGAGGAGGAGGAACTGACCAAAGCAGACCCAGACCAGCCCCACGTGCCACTGTAAGTAGCGCTCGTGCTTGTTTGCTTCCGATAACAGGGAGCAAAGCGGGTGCGTGGTTTTTGTAGGAAACGCTAAATTTTGGATGGCCTTGCGTCAAAGAGTCGCTGGTGCGATGTGATTTGCAGCAAGTGCAGCACTGAAGATAAAATTCCTCGTGCGTATTGGAAATAGCCTTTGGTGTTTGTGGAGCAGCAAGTCCTGGAAATACTGGCTGGCTGGAGTGGTGTGAGCTGCAGATACAAACCTGGAATGCCGTAAGCACTTTCTGTCCAGGATGTGTTGGACCTGTCCCCTGAAATGAAATGCTTGCTGTTTTGCAGTGGGAATGTTTGTAGTAGATCTGTTGTGTAAAGCGAGGCCAGTCCGAATCTCAGTACCTGGCAGCAGATTTGTGACTGGGGAATTATTTTATTTGTTAAATGGAAAAAAAAACAAAAAAAAAACAAAAAAACAAACCTCTGAAAGGATTTGGCCCAAGTGCCAGCAGAAGTGTGTGAAGTGTGTTCTCCTCTTGAATGTGGGAAGTTATTGCTGGGAATTTTCGTCTCGTCCGTGAGTTGCATTAAACGATGACAACAGCTTCATAATTATGTTGTTAACTGGATGCTGTTTGCATAAGTATTAGGTGTCAGTCTGTGCGTGTGGAGGAGGAAGATCCTTGTCGAGGCGAAAGGTCTTGAGACAGGTCAAGGGAAGGAGGGAAATTTTTCTTCCGAACCCCAGAATTTTCCAGTTATTTTGCACAAACCTCTCAAAAGGCCATCATCCTGCGTGTGGTGTGTGTGAAATCTCGCTTGCATCAGTAGATGATCTCTTCCACCCTGATGGACCCATTGAACCGAGACCTCGGTCTGGGAGGTATCGCTACGGTCGACAAAAAGCTCCCTGCAGCAGGCACGGGGGTCCTGGTTGGAATGCTGATGGCTTTTCCCAGCAGGGCTGGGAATAAGTCACCTCATCCCTGCTCCGTTCTGGGCTTGTGCAGATCTCTGTGGAGAAATAACTGGGTGGACTCAGATCCCCGTGCCCGTGGCTGGTCTGTGACGCAGATGTGACTGAACCGGGTGGATATGAGCAGTGTGGGCACTTGGTAACTTCAGCACCCTCCAAGCACAGGCTCATGTGGATGAGTGCTGATAGCCAGATGTTACAGCTGCGGGATATTAAATTCCCACTGAATGTCACGTCGTGTTTCGGGATGGTGGCACGGGGTGAATTTCTGCACGTGAAGCCTTAGATGTGGCCACGAGTTCGGGTTTCTCCCAGCGCAAAGCTGGTAGCTGAGCGTGTGATCCCTCCTGGCTGGACATAAAGGGGGTTCTTGTGCTGTTAGGAACGAGAGTTTAGTAACTTTATTCCTGATTTATACCACCCCACAAACCTACTGTTGGGATCTGGCTTATAAGTCTTGTAATAGCTATTGGAGGAGACATCTGATTAAAAAATCCGTTCCGAATAACATTGAATTCCCCCTCTTTGTGGCTTTCACGGCTTCAAGTGTTTGCCTAGCAAAGTGAAATTTCTTTGCCCCTCCTCTTAATCCCAGGAGGAAGTGTGGTATTGGGAGACACCAGGCGTGAAATTCTTTGCTGACTCTTCCGCCCTTTTCGTTAGTCATGCCCTGCCTTCCCCATCCCCAGCACCCTTAAAGAGCCAGACATCTGAAAGCTCCTAAAAGCACTGATCCCTCCATTGTCTCTGGGTTCAGAAGCACACACTGGCATCTAGGCCAGGCCCACCAAAGCTCGTTTAAAGTCGGTGCCTGTGGGTATTCAGTAATTAGCAGTCCCGAGCATTGACTGTCCTGTTGGATGAGTGCTGTGACATTGGAGCGCTGGCACGGCTGGGGCTCAGCGCGTGTTGGTGCTTGTCACAAACTCGGGTCAACCTTAAGAGCTCTGACTGCATCTAAATCTCCTTCTTTTCCACCAGTGCTGAGAGGCAGGAAGGGGAAGAGCCGAGTTTTTTCCACTGGGAAGCCGCCCTGGGCCAGCTGATTGTACAGAACCTTTGTTGTTACACTGGTGCGAGTGCAGAGGCTGCTCAAGGAGGGCTGGGTTTTGCAGCTTGTAGAATTTACCTAGTAAGAAGGAAGACTTGAACTCTGATTATTTTAATTTTGGTAGCGAGATGGAACATCTTGAGTGTGAAATGGAGATATTCCAAAGCACCTGGGTGCGTTCCTGTGTAACCTGGGTTAGACTGGATGAACCTCCAGAGGTCCCTTCCAACCCTGACTGTTCTGAGATTCTGTAAACTTCTGTCTCATTCCACAGGCACCACCCCTTGGCTCTGTATTGCCTCTGGGTGCCTCTGCCTTCCCCCAAAAAAACAGCTGCTTCCTTCTAGACCTTCAGTGAGAGTTGTGCTCCAAACAGTTTTCCTGGCCCACTGAGGGGCCATGTCACCAACTGCCTCTGGGATTCAAGTAGGAGCAGGCAAAAGAAACAAAGACTGCTTACATCATGCTTAGATAAGAGCTGACCTTTGAGTTTTTCTGGCGTGGTGGCATTCCAGAATCCGTATCTGGTCAAGGACAGACTTTGAAGCGTTTGTGCTGTTCTGACCTGCCGGATCTCGGGCTATGGAGCGGCATCTCCCTGAGGAATTCCATCTTCCCAGCAGCGTTAGGGCTGTATCAGAACCTGTATCCTTTTCAGGCACTCCCAGAGCTGCTGCCCAGGAAGGTGCTGTCCCTCAGGTGCATAACCAGGCCATGGTGGAATGCATAAACAAAGCAGGGAGGTGTTTGTTCCACCTTTGGGAAGCCCTGCCTGCCGTGGGCTGGGTTTAACGAGGTGCCCGTGGGGAGGGCAGGTGTGTGCAGGCAGGGTTGGGCCGTGCTGTCCTTGGCTTTGTGTCCATCCACGAGCACCACGTGTCGCTTCACCCGCTCTCTGGTTGGTCACACACAGCTCTGCCTCACAGCTGAGATCCTCGCGTGCCACTCCAGAGGTGAGTGGTGCAGAGCGAGGATCAGGAGGAGGCAGCTTTGCCTCTGCTCCGAGGTGAGGGAGGCAGGTTGGAGATGTGGAGAATCCCAACTCCTTTGGCTGGGTGTGGCTGGAGGCAGGAGCTGTCTGAGACTGTAAAACCTGTGTGATTTTGGAAGGGCCCTTTGGAGTGGGCAGGCCCTGGCACAGGTTGCCCAGAGAAGCTGTGGCTGCCCCTGGATCCCTGGAAGTGTCCAAGGCCAGGTTGGACGGGGCTGGGAGCAACCTGGGCTGGTGGAAGGTGTCCCTGCCCGTGGCAGGGGGTGGCACTGGATGAGCTTTGATGTCCCTTCCAACCCAAACCATTCCTTGTTTCTGTGCTGCTGTTGGTGTGGTGGGATCAGGAAGTGTTGTTTGTGAAAGGTGGCTTTGGAGCAGGGCATGGAATTCCTCCCAGTGCTGGAATCTGGCTGGTGTGGCCGAGTGATGGTTTAGCAAGTCATCAGAGAGAGTCCTGGTGTTTCTGCGGCCCTATGCTAATACACACAAGTAGGAAATATTTCATGTGGCTGGTGCACCTTTATTGTAGTTGCTTTTCTCAGGCTGGTTGGTTCTCTGGTTTTCTTATGTTGTTTCATCAGAATTTGTCAGTTATTTTTGGCTGATTAGTTACCTGTGTCAAACAGCAGCATAGGCATGGGCTGGTGAGAGGCAGGTGGTTTGGTCTCTAATCCTCAACTTCAGTCTGTGCCACGGAAAAACTTTCTGAAAAGGCAGCGAAACCAAATATTTGACCGAGACTTATCTTTTAGCTCAGGTTCCTTATCTGGAGAGTCACTGTTTGGTTGGCAGTTTGCACCAGGCTGCTGAGAGGGAGCTGAAGTTCCTACTGACCAACTTCTCACACCAACTGGCTTCCCACGGGACCTTTTCCAAGGGGTCAGGCAGCACCTGCAGCGTTCAGCTGTGGTTGTTCCGATGCCGATGGCCACGATGCCTTTAATTATTCCCGTGCGCTTTAATTATTCCCATTTACTGGTGGGGAAATCCGAGCACCTCCCGCACTTTGGTGTTGCAGTGAATCATTTCACAGCCCGTGCGTTGTCTCCTCCCCGTGCTGCGTCACGTTGCGCTGCCGGGATTTCGGAGTTGCTGGGCTTGGAGGAGTAATTAAGATTTTTCTCACGTTGAAGTGCTTTTCCCGGCACTGATTTCCGAGGCCTGTGTTGGAGAGGGATGCACGTGGCACTTGGCACTGGGGGTTGTTTGAGGGGTGGTTGTGGTTGGTGCATCACCTGACTGAGAAATGGGGTTTAGAAATTTTGATTTGTTTGTTTGTTTGTTTGTTTGTTTTCCTCCCTCGATTATGTTTTTCAAGCGAGAGAAGGATGATAAAGCCTGTACCTCAAGGGCACTTAGATAGCATTTCTCAAATCTGTGACTTTGTGGGACTGGCATTCAGGTGGCAAATCCCACACTGGCATTCAGGTGGCAAATCCCACGCCGTGAGGACTAAGGAAGCTTTTCCTGCTGGTCAAAACCCCATTTCACTGAATGCTTTATGCAGAGCAATCCTAAAAGTTTCTCTCTTTCTCTTTATGAACTTTTTCAGTTACCTGCTTGATTTTTTTGGGGGGGGGGGGTGTTTTTCTTGTTTACTTCTATCTTTGCTTGCAGGTGCTGACGCCAGCACGGTGCTTAACTCTTGTTTTTCAGCTTATTTATGAAAACTGGCATGTGCTGTACCTGAATTGCTGTAAATCCACGCGTGGGTCGGGAGAGATGTCCCTTAAGCCTCTTTCAGTTGGGAAGAGAGAGAGGGAGCGAATCCTGAAGTGCTCTTGCTTTGCATTTGAAAGCAGAACAATAGAGCGGTTCATTGTTCAAAAATGCTTAATCAGGTGTGGGGAGTAAAGTAGGACACTCCAAGTCCCTCCTGCTCGTAAGAAAGGAGGGCGAATGAGAACAGGGCTGGTTATTTCTCCAAGAGCTGCTGGTCACAGCACACCTTTTGTGGACGCAGGGGGGTCTTTGAAGTGCCTTCAGCAGTCTGGGGTGATTCTGTG